TAATTCAATCTATGAAGTTTGTGAGTTTCATTTTTTGTGGACTTGGATTGGGGCTGCACAATTCATATAAATGTCATCGTATTTAAAGTGCATTATTCAAATCGCAGGAAGCACATTTGTTTAAGACAACATATGTATTGTGGAGCACAGATTGTTATAAAAACTCCTGTGCAACAACTGACCCTTTTTTGTGTTATTTCTCGCTGTTACTTCAATACTTTTATTTGTTCACTTACATTTAATGCTGCTACTTATTTATTACCATGGATGTGTACTTATTTGATTTTATTCTCTTGTGTCCTTGCCTCTTTCTCTAATATGTTCTTTGTATTTTTGCCTCTCATCTGCACTGTCCCAAAACATACATCATCTTAAAAAAAAATACAGAATAGAAATGCAAAATGCTCTAATTCTTTTTTTTCTTCTCAAATCGTTCAGGTGTAGTATGGTTCAAATGAATAAAAGTGAGAAGCATGTGATGGATTTATGAGGCTTGTGCTGAAGTAAAGTGCATTTTAACAACCGCTCCTGAACTCCGTCTGCAGCACTGGAGACAGATTACGATGCGCTCCTCAGACAATTTGTGGGAGTAGTATTGATGGGGCTGGTGTTGACCACAGACATATTTATCTCTGAGCACTGCGTGATGAGAGGGTACTACACACACACACACACACACACACACACACACACACACACACACACACACACACACACACACACACACACACACACACACACACACACACACACACACACACACACACACACACACACACACACACACACACACACACACACACACACACTCACACACACACACACACACACACACACACACACACACACACACACACACACACACACACACACACACACACACACACAAGCCGGCCTCTAAAGAAACAGACTCATCCCCATCCATTTAAACTGATGTTCCCCTTCAACAGATATGTGTGACGGGTAATCAATGGGACTGTCGATGCAGTTTATTTATCTCCGTTTCCAGTAAGAAGAGACAGTAGAATCCTTGTCAAGTTCCCGGTTGTACGGCAATTAAAAGAGCATACAGATAAATGGAATGCTTAGGACACACTATTGACTGAAGCTGTCAATAACCTGCTTACAGCACAGTTCATCTGAACTGAGACAGACTAATAGAAAGCCACATTGCTTTGTACGAACACTTTAAGTATAGCTATGATAGTGAGCAATCAATTGGCCAACAATCTCAGCATGAAGATATGTTGATGTCCCAGTATGAAAGGCACAGGTGAATCCATTATTCTGCTTCAGTTTCAGGGCATGCTGGCTCAAATCACCATTTACCAGGAAACCTGAATGGATCTGAGCCATTGTTAATCTTATTAGTTACACCTGTGCTTTACTTACTTACTGGAAAGTACATTTACTCAAGTACTGTACTGACGTATTTGTACTGTAGTATTTTGATTTTTGTCATTTCAATTTAGTTCACATGTATTTATTGGCGCAACAATCCGAGTGCCATTTAGTTCCAATATTTTCGAGACATGACAGACATTTAAAAAAAGGCATGATCTCTGACACTCACAACAAGTCAATCCAAAGAGATACATGACACTTCTGTATGTTTGGGTAAGTTTCCCTTTAAGTTATACACTGGCACGAAGTGTTAGCTGTGGTGTTTTGTGTTAAAAACAAAGTTCAGGTATATTACAGACCTCAGGGTACAGTAGTAGTTACTGTAGTTAAAGAAGTTATCTTTTTCATAGGAATATGTCAAGACTGCTTTAAAAGCTATCAATACACAATCTTTATGATATTTGTTTGACTTACATATCTGTAGAAACCCTCACAAGGTAGCAGAAGCATGGAAGTGTCCACAGGAGGGAATGCAGTGAAGAGTCCCATTTTGTCCAGATGTAAATTATGCTGTATTATAACAAATGTCAGGCAGAAGGTTGAAAAAAACATCAACATCAAACGCAAGACAATATCACTTTGTGCCCTGGCCACAATAGTTCCACACCTAGGACATCACTCTTACATTTTTCACAAACCAGGCATATTTTACAGAGGAAAGTAAAAAAGCCAGGGTGTAAACGATTCAGTTAAAGTGGACCTATCATGCTATATTTGAATAATATATTGTAGGGCCATACCTATATAAAACATGTCTGTGAAGTTTTCTTTTCAAAATACCAAACAGATCATGCATTTTAGCCATGCCTCATTTCGCTCTATTTGCTCTTTTCCAGCCCTGTTTTTGCAAGGGCTGATTCTGTGAGAAGTCTTCTTCGCTGCTTTTGTGGCAGACTACAGCGCCACTTACAGGCCTGGCATATGTACTACAGCGTCTCCAGCTCTTTCGAGCGGCAATGGCCGTGGCCGTGGCCCAACCCCACATTCCCCTGATAGGTGGAGAGTTGCCCATATAGGCGGAGCTCCCCGTTTCTGACGTCAGAACAATTTCAAATCTGTATCAGCTCCGTTGCAGCCTAGTTTTTAGAGATTTGGGTATGGAGGAAAAGAGAGAGGGTTGTGTTTTCTGACACTTGGTGAGTTCCCTGACACACCGGGGACACATATTCATGTATAAAAGACGTACAAAAGTGCATTTTGCATGATAGGTCCCCTATCAGAAAGCTGGATTTAGCTGCTTACAGTACATTTCAGGGTCCTGGTGTTGTGCATGCTTGCTCAGTGATACCGTTTTATAAATGGCATTTCTTACAAAGACATTGTTAACATTATAGGCAACACCTGTGCTTTTCTGAGCAAACATGAATGATAAAAAGATAATTGAGGGATTGTTTACCACCATGTAGGCAGTGCCACAACACTATGACCATTAGAAGGCTATTTCAGGTAAACCACACTGTCAGGAAACAATAATATAATACATTTTTTCCCAAAATGTTTAGGAAAGTCCATGAAAAACTAATGAAAGAACAAAGTAGGGCAGGCTCAAGCTCCATAATTCGTAACTCACTGATTGCATTTTAAAACAGACAGCAAGTTACAGTTCTGCATCAAATTGACTTTCTAAGCAACTTTAACCAAACACCATGCATACTGTACATTATTCGTTTTTCTCTCTCCAAATGAGGCTCCAGTTCAAGGCCTGTAACAAAATCCTAGCCTGCACATGAGCTACCCAAACCCTTTTCTCCTTTGCAGCAGAATGCGACACCTTTATTTCCAACAAATGTTTATGCTTCTAGTTACGGTGAGAGCAAACAAGTGTTTTGTGACTTTTTTTAAATCAGTGAAGACCTTCTTTTGAGAGTTAAATACTTAATGCTAAAAATAATGCTAAGGAGGGCTTGTTAGAGTGTGCGCATGCCAAAAACCATAGAAAGTTACATTTAAGCATTTAAATGAAATATATGACATTAATTGATGTATTTTTATTTGTTTTAAGGTCATTAAAATTACGCTCTACAGTGTAAAACTAAGGGCAACAAAGTACAAATTCATATTTATATAAAAATATGTTTTTTTTTAATTACCCCAATGTATCAAGCTAATGGCTAAATAAAATACAAAGATGTAATTAGAATAATTTGGATCAGAAATGCTGGCGTTAAAGAACAGATTGCAGCTCATTTTCGGACAAGCATTTGATTTGAGTGATTCCTTAGTGAAAAACGTATTAAATGAAACAGTTTGAGCTACGAATTTTGACTTCCTGTTTACATTTCGCACATTCCTACGGTGGCCTCGTAGGACATACTTACACTATTTTCAATGTAATCCATCACTTTCCTATTCAGCAGATGGCGACAACGCCCCAAGCAAGACTGGAAACAGTATTCAGATCATTATGTAAAAGTAGAAATACTAGAGTGTAGGAATACTTTGTCACAAGTAAAAGTCCTGCAATCAAAATGTTAATCAAGTTATCAAAAGTTAAAAAAAATTATTGGCTGTAGAAGAACACATAATGGAATCGAACTAGCTTTATTTTAATGAATGATATAAAAAGGGATTGTGTTGCTGCAGAGCCAACAAAAGCCAACATAGTTATTTGAGACATTACACTGGTGCACTTCTACAAAACCTCCACATGAGGGCTGTATGGAGCATTGGATTTGACTAAAGTAAAGTCAGCACACTGGTAACAATACACAGTAAAAGTACCAGAATGTGGATGACCCTTTAAAGGAGAGTCCTGTATTAATTTCTAAGTAAATATTAGTGTAAAATACTACTGCTGAATTATAAATCACTGAGTGGTTTAGGGCCAAAATACATTTCTGATCTCCTGCTACATTATGAACCACCCAGAACTCTCAGGTCTTCTACGACGGGTCTACTTTCTGTCACCAGAGTCAGAACTGAACATGGAGAAGCAGCATTCAGTTATTATGCTCCAAATATCTGGAACAAACTGCCAGAAAACTGCAGGTCTTCTGCAAATCTCACCCCTTTAAATCAAGACTTTTCTTTTTGAAGCTGCTTTCAATTCAATCAAATAACTTGTCATATCTTACACTGCACTGTAACTGTTTTTTTGGTACCTATTAGGCCCCACAGTGAGTATCATTGACAGGAGTTATTCTAGGAGTACATCTTACATACAGTATAGAATATGTTGCCCCAATGTACGTCTATTAGTGTGAAATCTTGCTAAATCTGATTATCCACATTGATGCCACCTACATTAAAATAAAATGCAGGTATTATCTACATGGCTGTGTATTTTGAGTCTAGACTTTCAAAGTGAAAAGCTAATATATTTTGGGGGGTTTATTATCTCTGAAGTAATCTTTATGAAGCAAATATTGATCAGTGCTCTACGGCATCAACCAAGTCTTATTGTACTTTTTCTGTGTATGTCTCACAGTTATAAGCTGTATATTTTCACCAATATATTATAATGTAAAAACAGGAAAATATTACAACCATTATACATGGAGCAAATGTTGTCTTATCAGCAATTGAATTTGATAAATTGGGTATGTATTCTCTAGAGTTGGACAAAGACACAATGAGACTCAACAGGACTGCGGGAATTTCAAACAACATTTTATTTCCAGTATGTATTTTTTTAACAAGTCAAAAGTTAGGGGTGCATAGTCATGAAGGGAGCATGAGCAACATGAGCACAAACACAGACATACAGCTGGACATCAGGGGAAACCTGGGGATGTGTTGTGTACTTGTTGAATAGACTGTGCTGATGTATGCAAGATCAAGTCACTTACTGCAAGACGTTGACTTCTATAAAACACTATAATTTCTATACTGTACTATTAGTGAGTTTTTAATTTAATGACAGCCGCTATGTGTACAAAATATCGTTGAAATAGTCAGAACGGCAGAGGGAAAATGTGAAGAGTTCGGTTTAAGCCTGTGCTTTTATTTCAAATGTTGAGCTAGCTAGCCTTAGTCTATGAAATAATCAGTTTTGACACGCAACAAGTCAGAAAATGCATCATTGTTTGGCGTTCCTAACTATAATCCTTTGATTCTGAATAGGAAAACAATTGCCAAAATAAGTAACATGTTGCTCCTATTTCCTTGATCATCCCATTGGATCAGGATAGTAGTCAAGTTACATTTTTCGCCGGCATTAAATCCGTTTTTCGATCTCTTTTCTCTGTGTGGAATGTGGGAAGCAGACGTCAGACTCTTGGCTTGGCAGTGTGAGTTCCAGCTGCTACAGATACAGAAGTATTACAGAGCAATATCATCTAGTACTTTTAATACAGCGGTAGACGGCAATGCAACATGTTTCAGTAAAGTGTAAGTGTACTAAGGGACGTTGAGAGTCATTGTAATATATAGTGTACAGCAGACGTGAGACTCTTGGATTGGCAGTATGAGTTTCAGCCGCTCTGGCAGTAAGAGCAATACTAGCTTTAAGGAATCATAGTGGTCAGTCTGTTCCTTTAGTTAGACATGTGACTTTAACACTGAGACTAAAGGTAACTTTTCAATGCTCACAAGGGGAGCAATTTCATAAAGGATTCACGTTTGAACAAATAGTTGCATGTTTCCTTTTCCTAGCAGATTTAATACACACACTCGTCCCCCATTTTTCTTAAACGCCCAATGGGCACAGGGATTAGAATGATGTATACTTGTAAATAATCCAACTAAAAGCATTATCTAAAAAGCATTTAAAATGAGGTTTATGTTTCCTCCACTGTGAAAAGTGTAGTCACTTACATAAAAGGAAATCTTAGCCTTATTGACGCAGTGTTTTTTTTCCATTTTGCAGTCATTTCAATCTGAAATCATAGAATGCATTATGTTTCATTAGCTTTTACTATATGTGGCAGGCGTTTACCACTGGGTGGCAGTCATTGTGTATTTTCGGTGTGTATTGCACCACTGCAGAGAAGCATCCAACACTGTACAGGGCAGACTCAGTACTGCAGCAATCACTATATAAGCAGTAAACAGACCTCAAGACTCATGTAAGGTTCAGATATTAAAGACAGGCAGGTGTACAAATGGGCTTATATGAGAAAAATATTAAAAATCAGCCTTTGCTTTTGGTCGTTTGAGTACATTTCCACAGGGTACTACATCCCATATACCTGAATTTGGTTTTCTGGGACTATTTTGACATGGTTTTACACTTTTTGAGTAGTTTTACTTAAAAAAAATACATTCTTACTTGCACATAAAGTCAGAAAAAATCTCTATTAATGGGCTTCACTCTAGAAAACTTTAAAAAAATCAAGTCACAGAAAAACAGGGATCACACAATGGATGTTGTATCCACACATATACAAGTTATGCATCACATTCCCTACACACATCCACCTGTTTGTTATGCTATGTCAAAGCATGAGTTAAGAAATTAACACTAACAGACAGCCCAACACCACAATATTGCTTTTCCCTACAGGAAGACTTTGAAGGTACATGTGTATCCTTTTCGTAGAGACATATGCACAAGACTTTTTTAGACAAGGATGCAAGTGTGTGTGTGTGTGTGTGTGTGTGTGTGTGTGTGTGTGTGTGTGTGTGTCCGTATGTGTAGTGCTTTCTTATAACATTCACAGTTTTATATCACATCAAGGACGCTGTATCACTTCTAACACTGAACAGTCACATGTTAGTAGCTAGTACAGTTTTCCAAAGCAGAAACATCTGTCTAATGCACAGTTTGAATCTAATGTCCATGCATTAGTCCAACTGAAATACATTAGCACAGTGTAGATACATACATTGGTATAATGAAAGTGTCATGGACAGAAAAAGTTTCAATCAAAGCCACACGTCTATAAAGTGCCCTATAACAGGTTATTGCATAATCTGTTGTCTGTCTTATTGCTTCCATTGAAAGCAAGAAGGGAGATGCACTCCAGTTTTAGAGCGCATCAGGCGATTAGAAAAAATAAATAACATGTTCCAGTAAAACTGATCCAACATGTAGTCAGACAATGCTGTGGTGAGGTACGAGAAAACCTTGGATTGAGTTTACTTTTGTAAAAAATGATAAAAGAACGACCATTCAGAAGTCACTTCCTGTGTTGTGCACCCACTCTGGATTGTGTTAAAGTGCTGTATTGTTTGAACACAAGGCCAGTTCACGACACTCAAAGAAGTGTGACTAGGTATGTGCGTTTGTATGTTTTTGTGTAGTTTTCCACTGTTATAGCTATTCAAAGAGGTGACTTCTCGCACTGAGTCGCATAGAGAGAAGCTTCTAGTTCCCAGTCGGCCTCTTAGCACTAAATTGATTCATGTTTGTTTATCACGAGATGAAGAAGAAGTGATTTAATGAAGGCTTTGTGAACTTTATCCATATCTCTTCTCTTAACCCTTAGATGCACGAGTGACTGGACCCTACACTCTTCCATAAGTGGGTCAAAAAGGACCCGTATTGTGTGTTTTTATGCCATTTTTGTCATTTTGGTTAAGAAAAATCACTTGTATAATATTAAGTATTATATTTTGGTTCACACTAGAAATATTTTATATTTAATTTTTCACTATTTAAATATTTCATTTTTGACCCACTTATGGAAGCTTGGGGTAGTAATACAAAAACTACAATTTCTTAAAATGTATAAAATGTAAATTTAAAATTTGAGTGGCATGATATCCAAAACATGTTTTTTGAGGAATAGCTGGAATATGAAATGATAAGAAAATGTAATTACAAAGATACTCGAAGAAAACCACCTCACCGGGTCCAAAAAGACCCACTTATGCATCTAAGGGTTAAACAAATTGTGATGACTTCTAAATATTCTACCATTAAATGTAAACATATTAGAACATTCTTTAACTATTTGCCACTTCCTCATCTGTTCTTACCAATGCATGTGCTAAGACACCAGACTTAATTAAAAGCAAAAAATGAATATAGTCTTCAATGCTTAACATTCCTGGATGCAGTCACGAGTAACCAATGAACTGAGCAACACACTTAAAGTCTTGGTGGGTTTTTGAATCACATATAATAAAACGACGAAGAAGAATGAACCACTGGCCTTTTGGGATATTCACACATTCATTTGATAATAATATATTTATATATTGAATATTACTTTTAGAATTAATTAAAATATAATATTTTTTTGGACAATATTTAACATCTATTCCCTGACAGTCTTTACATTCTTTCAGTGATCTGTCTCAATGCTGTGCTGCCTGCATTACTGAGGCAGTATCAATGGACACTTTTTTTTAGCACAAATACATCTATGTGTAAAGTGTTTTAGGAGCAAGTTTGTGTTTGGAAAGGTAGCCAGTAAGAGTCTGCATATAAGCGCGGACATACGGAAGTGATTCATTATGCTAATGAACAAAAGTGCCATGTTCTTAAGGTTTTCTAGCAGAGTGGTTCAATTGTATTATAGTCACATTTAAAGATATTGTTCTTATTTTTCTGTAGGTGTTAAATGTATTTCACCCTCTCTTTCCCACAATTACCTGCAGGCAATTACTTTATTATATAGGAGCCACCTTTAGTTAAAAGGGGTCAGAAAAGCAGTGTTGGGAAGTGCTTATTGACGGAGCTTCGCTCAATTAACGTGAATGGTTAAATGGGATCATACAGAGACACACATAGATGTCCATGTACTGTGGTGCAAGACAACATATACATATATGAAGTTATATAAAATGCGCACATGCTAAAAATGCATTGGTTATTAGTCAGAAGCAGCATGATTAAGTTCATTCATTTCTATAGGGAGCTGGGTAGTCTAGGGATTGTCTTTGATGAAGGATAGGGCTGGTAGTTATTTTTTTTAAATAATTGTTTTGTGTTTTTTGTCCTCCCACCAGCAGGGGGAGACGAAGCAGAACAGGCACCAGTGTTTCATCTAAAGCAAAACAATAAAACCTGTGCATCCTGGTCCTTCACTCACCTAAGAAAGCCCAGTTGTCAGACTAAGCAAGCCGTAAAGTTGATCAAAACATATTTTTGGCTTTAATAAAACAACCACATGTCAAACCTGGACCCAGCTGTAAACATGCAAGGTAAAGTTGAACCTTGCATTGGCAGTAATTATGAGTTTAGGACTACAATGTCAAAAGATCCTTTAAAAAAAAACTACTAGCAAACAAACAAATGTAAACAGTGTTTGATTAGTAGCACATTATTTGTACTTAAATGTAAATGTTATTTGATTAAAACCAGAAAAATGTTGGCTATAACCTTCATTATCAAAACTCTGGCTGAGTGGTCCTCTGGTTTATGTATTCTGTATTCTGTGCTGTTCTTCGGTCGGTCGACATCATGGCAGTTCATAGTTTGTGGCATTTCCTTGTGTCATCAAAGTGTGTTTGTTTGGGTCCAAGTTTGACTCTAAATGGAAGAATCTAACAAAACTGTTGGCAGTTGATTATTGAAATTTGGAATATGCAATTAAAACTACATCTGAGGATTTTCAAAGTCGTTCCTCAATACATGTTGTAAAAGGGTGAACAGAGTGGTGCAGTGATGACTAATTGTTGTAGTCTGAACTGTAAGTTAGCTTCACAAGGGCACCCTCGACTAAAAGCCAATGGGATGTTTAAAATAGACTTTGAAAATATGCACAAAATAAGCTTTGAGGCAAACATTTATGATACGTACAAATATTCTTCAGTGGGATAATCTCCATTTCTAAAGCTGCCTTCACATGATGCGCTCTTAGTTCTTTGCTCACTGCAGGGTAGGGCGCAGAGTCTTTGGTAGAAAACCGCTAGTTAAGTTAATTTCTATGGTTACCTCGCCTGCTAGCGTTACATAGAGCTGTTATCTGATTGGTTGCAGCTGCAAACTAGGCCAAAGTTGAAATAATTCATACTTTTTTACAACTATGCCAAATGCGGCTAATGTTCGGCGTGATGACTTTTTTTGCAAGTTGTGTGTTTGCTGACTTATTTGATGTCTTTAAACAAAACCGCTCATAAGCTTGTGTTAACCACACAGACCTTATTTCAGGAATCTAACCAAAAACTCATTCAAAGAACAACTGACCCTCCAAGACAAGGGATCCCTGATAAGCTAAAATACCGACTCATAAGGACTCATTCCTGCACCACTCTGTTGGAGGCCACTTAAGGCTCTACTGTAGAAAAAGTGTCAGATAATAGAGCATATGTTGATCACTTAGGCTGCACACTATGTAACGAACGGGCTTTCGTGAAGGTGAGAGAAGGATTTAGGGTTTTGCACATTCCCCCCTCCCCAAATCTCAAGCATGATTTAAAATAGACATTTACATGTTAGCCGCTAGTAAGATAAAACAGTCCACTGAACAGCATTTTCTCTGAGCGTGTACATTTGTCTAACATATATACAAACATACAGACATACTTTGCATTTTGCTCATGCCTTTGGTGTCCCTTTGTTGTCTGCTTTGGCTCCTGAATGTCCATTTTCTGTGTTGTCATTCCCTGAGCTCACCAGACACTCTTTGCTGCAGGGGAGAGAGAAACAAAAGGTTAGGTGTACACCCACAGAGGGAGGCAAGAGGAGTGATAACAGCTATTTATATATGTTTTGCAGGGATTTCTACATAGCCGATCCCTTGTAAGCCTAAATAACAATCTTGTGTTGGACAGGAATTGGAAATCTGTCATTAGGATTTTAATGAAACTGTTATCCAATAGTTTAATTGTAAGATTGGAAACACTCATTTAAACCAGAGAGAATGAAGCCTCTGGCCACTCTTATATACATATCATATTTCATAAATAGATGTCTGCTATGCAACAAACTATACCGACATAATGTGATATGTGAAAAGACTAATTGTGTTGCATTGTTGGAGAAGCCTGTGACCTAAGATTTTCAACGACATAATTACTCTGTAGCTATGTTAGTTTGACAATAAAGAACCTTGAACCTTGAACCTTGAACTAAGTAGAGATTCAATATTTCTCTCTTTTTCAGTTATTTGTATTTATCATAATCAGAAATACTTTAATACTCCCAGGGGAACATTCGTTTTTGGGACAGTTTTTCCATTTTAGAATGAATAAAGTAGAGGAAAATAAATTACATAAACATACCAATTAACAATGCGCAATAAGAAGAAAAATATATGAACATACACAAATAAAAAATGCGTTGAATAAAGTATTTTGTAAACATAACAAGTCATAATATTTTACATTGTATTCACTGCAGTCAGACAGCAGTCAGACTAAGTAGTGTTATGATATTATCTGCATCAGTGGAAGCAAATTTAACATGCACATGTTCAAGGTCTAATCAAGGCATGGGTTATTTCACGATTATCACGTAACATGATTGCGATTTTCTACCGTGATAGCAAATACACACAGGCATACGTTAATTACATTAATATATATGTACTGTATATATTGTGTGGTAGTTGCCTGGGGATGTGTGCCTCTTTTGTAAGGAAGAGAGTGCCAACTGTATTTTTGGGGGATATTCACAATTATTGTGATAGAATCCTGGTATCCCATCCCTTGTCTCATCTTGCCCCACTAACAACGACAATTTAAATTTGAAGTGAATCTGCATTTTTCATTTCCGTAATCTATATACTGTCTCAGTGTGTAGCTGCATTGTCAAATCAAGACATTTTGATCCTTTCATCTTAAGTCAAAAGGTCATGTTAAACTTGCGTTGTCTTTTTAAATAAAATAAAAAAACTAAGCAATTGACTACCTGTGATTATACTTATATTTGACAAGAAGGCCAAAACAGTTTATAATCTATACATATGGTGTATTTCTCATCATCTGTCCTCCCGTGTTATTAGCAGAGATCTACTCACTTCTTCTCATCATCCTTCAGCAGGAAGTTAATCACCAAGGCCTTGATTACCATGCCAAGGATAGACAGGCCAATGACTCCCCCCACCACTGAGACAATGATGGTGGTCAACGTCGTGTCAATCTCCTTCACTGCAGGGAGAAAGAGAGGGGAACACATTGTGAGGGAGAAAGAGCGAGATTAGACACCAACAGTGAGACTCTCATAAGCAGGCATAATATAAAGGTGTTATTGTCATATGGTAGCTGTCATTTTTGGCAATGAATATCTGAAATCTCAGGCTCCTTTAACAGTGCAACATACAATATACTTAAAGGGGACATAGTATGCTCATTTTCAGGTTCATATCAGTATGTAGTGTCTCTACAGTGACATGTCTCCATGCTTTAATGTTCAAAAAGCTCATACTGCCTGTGCTGCAGCACCTCTTTTCACCCTCTGTCTGAAACCAGAGCCCAGTCTGCTCTGATTGGTTAGCTGGCCGGCTCTGTTGTGATTGGTCCCCTGCTTAGAGATGTCCCGCCCCTTAGCCTATCATTTATAATGTGTTAAGTGCTAGCCAATAGAAGTGTGAGGGTTAGTTAGTGATGTCATTATCTTAAAAAAGTAAACAAAGGAGTCCAGTAGAGTCCAAATCCCTTAAAGAGATGAAACATTAGTAATCAGATTACTGTTACATTTCTAAAAAATGTGGGATTACTAGCAGGATATCACTGTTACGTAAATGGAGCATTTTCTGCTTTTTCAAATTGTAGTATGTGCTCATGTGTTTCATTGTTGGTGTATAGGCTCCTGTCTGAATATGCTTCATGAAAGGCAGGTTTTCCTATAAATAAAGTCTTTGAGCAGAGGACACATCAATCCTAAATATGTTAGATTGTAACAAGGTTATATTGTTCGACAGTCTTACATAATACACTGAAATAACAAACATCTTAAGTAACCCTCCCGACCGTGGTAACATACTTTGGTCCACCACGTAGAGCATGTAGCTGGCGCTGTGGTTGCGGTTCTTCTCCTTCTCGTTCCTGGCGAAACAGATGTACTCTCCATCGTCTTCGTAGGTGATGTTCCACAGCAGGATGGAGATGTTGTTGCCCTTCGAGGTGCCCACAAACTCCACACGCTCGTGGTACACACTGACCTTGGGCTCTACACCCTCGATGGGGATCACCGCTTCACACAACTACACACACACACACACACACACACACACACACACACACACACACACACACACACACACACACACACACACACACACACACTTAGAGATGGGTAGTCATGGGTATTCCCATATATGTATAGATTTATATATCAATGTGTAAATGTCAGTGGTGGAAGAAGAACTTAGTATTTTTAACTAGCAATATAAAATAAAATAGCATAACATGAAAATACTCAGATACATTTGAAGTATCTCATAATCATACTTAAAGGTAGGGTAGGTAAGTTTGAGAAACCAGCTCGAGATCGCTAGAATTTGAAAATACACAACCGGAGAAAATCTGCCCCTTCCTTCAGACTTCCTTACAGAGCCCCTCCTCCAACACACACGAACGTGCACATGACCAATGAGGGCACGAGATAAGTTTGTGCACAGATGGAAGGCTGACAGGCAGGTAGGCCATCCAGTTATTTTAGCCGGGCCGGCTCAGATGATTGGTCGTGCTTTTTACAGTATTACGGCTTCCACAGATGACATTTTTTTAATGGATTTTTTGTCAAAGCACAAAAATATCACTTAAGATATTAATTGCTATCGGGATGTTAAGAGCATTCCATGGAATATAACAAAAAGTGTATCTCGAGCCGGTTTCTCAAACTTACCTACCCCACCTTTAACTACAGTACTGGAGTAAATGTACTTTGTTACATTTTAGCAATGGTTATCGGGAATATAAAAACACCTTCAACACAGGTGTTTTGTACATTACGTCTATGTGGCTTATGGGTGTTTGTGTGTGTGTGTGTGTGTGTGTGTGTGTGTGTGTGTGTGTGTGTGTGCGTGTGTGTGCGTGTGCTGTACCTTGATCATGCTTCCATTGTCGTTGTAGTGCCAGTTGAAGTAGAGGTTTTTGATGCCGATGCAGGAGGCGTACGTGCAGGGCAGCAGCACCGTGGAGCCGTTAATCGCGAAAAGGTGAGACACTTTACCTGTTGACACCTCCAGGCCACCGACACTCCACACACCTGAACCCAGAGAGCAGGGAAAGGGGAGACAAAGAGGAAAGGATGACAAATAAAGTAAAACATAGAACAGCAAAAATGACGAGATGCTGTTATATGTTTACTTAGGATTACGTAAAAGATGAGGGCAACCAGAGGTAAAAAAAGTACTAAAATATTTTATTAAGTGAAAGTAGTAATGCTACAAACTACAAGTAAAGGTCCTGCATTCAACATATTTCTTCAGTAGATGTGCAAAAGACTTGGCTTCAGAATAGATACAAAGGACCACAAGTAAAAGTACTTATTGTCCGTGAAAGCCGTGGGTCGTGACTTGAACAGCTTAAAACCATGTATAGAGAAACTGATTCAGGACAAAACTATTGTTGTGGGAGTGTGAGGGAGAGAAAACTTCCACAGGAGGGAACTTTGGGATTTTAGCCCTTCCAGACCAAGGAGCCAAAAAGCACAATAGGTCCTCTTTAATTTGAACATAATTGTAATGTTGCAGGTGAAGCCATCTTGAATGACTTGTATCCTATTCTATAACAGTATGTCATAATTCTTGAGTTCATCTATATTTTTAATACATCATTTTATCTGCAAAGAAGCACATTTTTTTAAATAAAAGTAATAAGGAAAAAGCACAATGTTTGCTTCCATATTGGAGTGGAGTGGAAGTATGAAGTAGAATGAAATGGAAATACTCAACTAGTGTACTTCAGTAAATGTGCTTAGTTACTTTCAACCTCTGGAAAACACATGATACAGTCGTTAATTTTTCTGTGTGTGTGTGTGTGTGTGTGTGTGTGTGTGTGTGTGTGTGTGTGTGTGTGTGTGTGTGTGTGTGTGTGTGTGTGTGTGTGTGTGTGTGTGTGTGTGTGTGTGTGTGTGTGTGTGTGTGTGTGTGTGTGTGTGTGTGTGTGTGTGTGTGTGTGTGTGTGTGTGTGTGTGTGTGTGTGTGTGTGTGTGTGTGTGTGTTGGAATGACAGCTGCTGTGATCTCAGATTGTTGCTCCGGTGTCTCTCACACACTTGGGGCCTATTTTTAAACGCTGTTCTACACTCAGAGCTGCTCAGGATCACGTTGCACTTGGACATGGTGCAAACTGTTAAAGTACATGGAGGCCTGTGTGTTTTCCGGGACTTACATCTATATTAGAAATTCCGACCACATCTTTCTAACTCTGTAACAAAACATTGTAAAACACAGGAATATCTGGCATCAAGTTGAGATGAATGGCCACTTGACATTAGAATGGAAATACATGTTACTGTTAATAAGTTATGGATAGTACAACTCTGGATATAAAAAAAAACATATTTCAAATGTTAATAATTAAAACAATATTTAGTTTAGAAGCCTGAGAACAGTGTTTGAATAAACATAGCAAATATTTAAAATAAATGTCTCAATGAAAAAGAAAGAAATACACTTTAAAATAAATATGTAATTGTCACTAGCATCATATTTCACTTAGTATTTGGTTAACCTATGAGTATTAGCTTTATCTAATATATATATTCAAGTTGCCTTCGGAAACCAGTTACACAACAACCTACATAACACACTACAGGAAAGACAGGAGCCCAAAAAGTTCCTATACCAAGGCCTCTTTAACATTTGGTATTGAATCAGGGTCATTTCCCTCAAGTGGTGAACAGACCCCAGCTCCCAGTCATTATGTGTTCTGTAAAAAACATTTAATTTACATGTCTGACCAGGGAGGCGTGTGGCGCAGTGGGTTGTGTGTTGGTTTTCGGATCAGGTGGTCACAGGTTCAAACCCCACTGCAATCAGCATGTCGTTGTGTCCCTGAGACACTTCACCCCAAATTGCTCCTGTGGGGATTGTCCACAGTATTGAGTATGTAAGTCGCTTTGGATAAAAGCGTCTAACAAGTAACATGTAATGTAATGATGCTTGAGAAAAACACAAACCAGATAGAGTTTTGCATAGAGCATTAAAAAGTATTTATAGAAACAATTTTCTATGTCAAGTTGGCAGAAAGTTAAAAAGTAGCCTAAATGATTCAGATTCTTCTGGTGTGAATGGTTTTGGTACTTCCTTTGTTCAGTTTTCTGAATTGGCTCTCTCGTCTTCTCACTCTCACCTCTTTCCTCTCGTCTTTTAACATCCGATATTTTTACCTCTCCTCTGTAGTCATCTAGACTCGTCTCCTCTTCTTTCAGTAGCAGCACAAGCCATCTAGGTTGTCATTGTTCTTCTCTCTCTTTTATTTTTGCTCTCTTTGAATAGGCTTTATTTATTTATTTGTTTCTATCTTTTTTCCTCAGTGTTTCTGTCTTAGTTGTTTGCAGGATATTGTCCTCAGGGATCACTGAATTAAAGATGAGATGAGTGGAGCTGGTCTATGTTTGTGTGTTTTTATTTGTGTATGTGGCTGGTTGGTTAAAGAGGCCCTATTGTGCTTTTGGGGGTTTTCTCTTTCCTGCAGATTTCTTGTTTAGGTTTGTGTGCATGTAAATGGTCTGCAAAGGCTAAAATACCTGTGTTCTCTCCAGAAGGAGTTTCTGTCCTAAACACTATTTGTTTACTTCCGTAATATTGACATCACAATGTAGCACTTTATAGAGAGGCGAAGTCCCGCCCTTCTACTTCCGCCCCATGGGACCTTATTTCGGAAAAATTATGTATTGAAGTCAATGGAGAGAGAAAGATTATCTTTCGATCCCGTTTGAATTGTGCCACGAATTACACATATGATGTTTGTCAATCTTAACAAATCATTTCCATGTAAAAAAAAGTCAGTTTGTCCGGCAGTGGCTCAGTCAGTAGGGGGCTTGGACTGGGAGCTGTAGGGTCGCCGGTTCAAGTCCCCGACCAGACCTAAAATATGGAGTGTGGACTGCTACTTGGAGAGGTCCCAGTTCACCTCCTGCCCTGCCGTGGTGCCCTTGAGCAAGGCACCGGACACCCCCCTTCCCCCCTTCCCCCCTCACTCCCACTGCTCCCCGGGCGCTGTACAATAGCTGCCCACTGCTCCTATAGTACTAGACTCCTGGTACTAGGATGGGTTAAAAGCAGAGGCCACATTTCACTGTGTGCTCTGCATGTGTGACCATTAAAGAGGGTTTCATCCCTCCCAGTTCATTTAAATTGAATTTCAATTAAAATTAATTTAAAACTGTTGAAATATAAGACTATGAAAAATACGCAACTAGAAAGACTACAAATCCCAGAATCCCGGTCCCGCATGCTGGCTCTTACGGAACCGACTAACTCCCCTTGTGTGTATGTACAGCTCTCAACATGCCCAGACTTGGAGTGATTTTCACCTCTTTTAATACTTTCCGCCTCATTCTGAAAGAAAGAAGTGAAATGTGCCAACGTGACGGCCGTCTTGGTGTGTGGTGCGAGACGGGAGATGTAGTTCATTGAGCGGTTTCACACAAACAAAAGTGTTACTTCACAGTTTTACGACACATTTTTATTTTTTTGACTTGCAAAATTATCTTTTAAATTGACAAACATCATATGTGTAATTCGTGGCACAATTCAAACGGGATCGAAAGATAATCTTTCTCTCCCCATTGACTTCAATACATACTTTTTCCGAAATAAGGTCCCATGGAGCTCCCCCGGAAAGGGAGGGACTTCGCCTCTCTATTGCTTCTATTGGCTAGCGCTCCAACAAATTGTGCATCAATGGGCGGGACATCTCTAAGCTGGTTGACCAATCACAACAACAGAGCCGGCCAGCTAACCAATCAGAGCAGACTGGGCTCTGCTTTCAGACAGAGGGTGATAAGAGGTGCTGCAGCACAGGCAGTATGAGAAAAATAAAGAGCTTTTTGAACATTAAAGCATGGAGACATGTCACAGCAGAGACACTAGATACAAATATGAACCTGAGAATGAGCAGAATAGAGCCCCTTTAAATCAATTAACGCTTTCAGTAGCTGGCTGCTCATTGGCCTTGTAAAGTCTGTTAAGTGGATTAATGAAAAATCCTTTACCATCTAATGGTAATTACTGCCACTGAGAAAGGTTTCTAACCAAGTGCAAAAGAAAAACAACTGCGAACACAAGTCAGGTTCTCTCTTTCTAAATAGCAGTGTATATTTCTGCACACTGGAAACATGATGATCTTTTACATATCTGAGAGAAGTGTCCCCCCTCATGCCTATAAATAGATCACCCCCCCTATGTTTTCACCTCTGCTCTATACTATGCCTTTTCTCTCCGCTCCCTTCCTCTTCTTCTCAAATCTCTTCAGTTTGTCCTGACAACACTCGCACATGTACAATGCTATATCTATGTGTGTGATATATTTGAACTCTTGTCTCTACATACAATACAATGCAGGCACTGGTATGTGGGTGTGTGTGCATGAGTAATGGAACGTGTGTGATATTTATAACTCCACTATCAAACAATCTCTTTGTCTCAGTTGGGAAACATCAATATCTGAATCACTACTGGGAGGGCAACATCAAGTAATTGAGTGTGTGTGTGTCCTCTGCTGACTGTCAAGGTGGTTCTTTTCTAAGTAGGCCACAGATTGAAGGGTTAATGTATTTCAGAGTGAACCCTTGGAGAACCGAGCGAGGACACTATTAACTCAACCGAGAAAGAGACGGTAGGGAGTGAACATGGAGGGGTATGATAATGGAGGTGCAGTGTTGAAGGGGTTACGCCAGATGGATAGGGAGAGGTAGTGGGATGTCCTCTCCAAGGTAAGAGTGACAGGAGGTCAGAGAATTACAACACTGGCTAAATCAACAGAAGCCTATAGGCAGGCTCATATTTACACTGCTCGTACACACACTGAGGTCATACGATAGACTCAAGAACAAGTAACAACATACAGAACGATTATCACATTTACATGCCAACTGCTCGAGAGGCAGACACACTCACCACATTTAAGAGTTGGTTAAGACTTTTGATGAAGCTTATTTTGAGGCCTGGTTGAGGCTTATCTTGTTATGCTGCTATAAGGTGGTGCAGGAATGAGTCATAAAACCCCGAACTGAATTAGCATTTTATCACTTTCTGCACCCTTGTGTCAAAGTTAGTGTTTTTTTTGTGGTTAGAAGCCTGAAATAAGATCTTTGGTTAAAACAGGCCAAAGAGATTTAATGTTTTGTTCTACGACATAAATACGTCAGTAAATACCACACTGGTGAATGTCCGAAGCTTCTATGCGTCTTAAAAAACGGCGGTTGCTTACGTTGCATTCAAGTGACATGTGACTTGCTCTTTGCTTTCCGCGAGATTGGCACAGAGCCTTGCGTTAAAAACAGTATAGTTATGTTATATAAATATAACTTGATTGACTGATTATTCAATGTTACTGGTCACGAGGGAGGCGTGTGGTGCAGTGGGTTGTGCGTTGGTGTTCGGATCAGGGGGTTCAAACCCCACTGCAGTCAGCATGTCGTTGTGTCCCTGGGCAAGACACTTCACCCCAAATGGCTCCTGTGGGGATTGTCCACAGTATTGAGTATGTAAGTCGCTTTGGATAAAAGCGTCTAACAAGTGACATGTAATGTAATGTAATGTAATGTTCTTCTATAACTTGCACTGCTCTGCAATTGTTGGCCTCATTGCTGGTTTTATCACAATCTGCTCTTTTATTCTCTACAACAAACAATGTTGCGTAGTCCTTTATGTTATAATATAGCACCATGATAGACTGTAGTGCGTGATGGTAAACAAGATGAATGTGGTTTTAGTGACAGTTCTTCTGTGTGTGTATTTTGGTCCGTTAAGTCTGTCTCCTGAGTCTTGTCTGTTGTCATGAGGGCTTGAAATGTCAGTGAAAAATGAGTGATACTTTGAGGATGAATAATATCGTCCCTTCTTTCTTTAGTTTGGACAGACCTGACAGCAAGTTACTATCATGTTTTCTTTTTTATATCTCTGATTATTGTAACACAAGTGTGTATTATGAAATGTAGTTTATTGCTTAGTAATTCAAAAGAGAGATTGCTGCAGCATGTTGGCAAAGATTATAGGAATATAAGAGAAGAACTAAACAGATGTATGCAGGCAGGACTTATCAACAGATGTGTATATTAAGATGAAAATCAATATGCTGTAACAGAATACAGTACATTGTAGAATACAGATGAGTTGTCATTTGACTGACACTCCAAGATGGCTGACACACAATTAATTTGAGTCAAGGTCTTTAGAAGGTCAAAAGGAAAAATGAGTGAATGATACTTTTTTTTCTTTCTTGGCCCAATTTAAAAATACATGTTGATATACAGGGCGAGTATAACTTTTAATTTTGTGGTGGCTTTTCTACTGGTTTTGATTTTTTACCTTCAAGATAAACCGGAAAATCTTGCCTCAATGTTGCATCAACTTTACTCATAGAAATTAAGAAGAAATATAAGTAGGTGACCTACTCATTACAACAGCAAATACCCAAAGGGTGAAGCTACACACCCAAAGATACAGACTGACATCTCCACACTATACTTCATATGCTTTACTTTGACTGAGTGAGTGGGTTTCATCTACGTTCAACATTGCACGTGTTACATAGTTTTGTTTCTTCCAAACAAATACATAAAACATATATATATATATATATATTAAAAAGTGTATTTCTTGAATTGCAAATCCAAATCCAAAGCCTGTTAGCTATCAGTAAAATAGGTTTTATTTAATGTTAATGCAACTTTTGGGATCAAACCTACGGTAATTAGGGAGCCAGATAGTGCCACATAAACAACCTAACCATAACCATGTTATTTAATACTTTACAGACGTTTACCGAATAACTCTATTAGATTACAACGTTTGGAAAAGTTTGAACTCTTCATTAGAATTACAAGCATCCATTTGTAATGTTTTAATTTATCAACATGCCTGTAATTTGAGGTCAACATCGTATATAAATTGGGTTTTCAGCCAACCACACACCATAATCAGCTTCGATTATATATATATATATATATATTAACTTCCAATAATAATTAAAAAAAGCTACATATTATTTTATGTATGCTAAGTCAAATCTCACATAATGCTAAGTCAAATCTCACATAATGCTAAGTCAAATCTCACATAATGCTAAGTCAAATCTCACATAAATGACAAGATGTTGTTGGAGTTTTGCTCTTGTTCAATATTTTTCAATTACTAATGTTCAACCTTAAAAAGATTATCCAGCTTAGCTTGATTGGACAACTTTAACGGTGTGAAAGGAAAGGACCATTTACAAATCACAAAAAAGGAATTAAGCAAACACTTTAAAAGAGAATAATAAGATTTAGTTGAGGTTGTTTTTGCCACTAGAACTATTTCTGCATTGGAATTTTAGGTCTTAAGTGCTTAAATATCGGCATTTTATGAAATATTATTACTTAATAAGAGATGTTTTTCACATAAACCCCTAATCAGTTTTCTTTGCTTCAACTGTGAGCTGTGGTGATTTTTAAAACAGCTGAGAGGCAGGAGGACATGTTGGGATGTGGGGCTCTTCAACACACTTAGGGAGTGTGTGAGCAAACCAGGGATCACCACTGCACTACTACGTCACTAATAGCACACACACACACACACACACACACACACACACACACACACACACACACACACACACACACACACACACACACACACACACACACACCACATCTAATCCAATCTATTATTGACTAGTCGACATTTTGTTCCAGATTTATTGCCCTTTCACTAACTTTTATATAACAATGGCATTGTGTTGATGCATTCAGCATGTCACTCGGCAACATATGCCCAGGTTCAGATCCACTGAAGGATTGGATGTTATTGACCTTGATGCCCTTTAGCACAGCAACAAGTAAACATCTGCTGTGATGTAACCGTACCTGTTAGCCTCCAGGTGAGAGCAGAACATATTGAGACAGGGGAGCCGAAGCAGAGGCGATAGAGCAGCAAATGTTGGTATGGATTAATGAAACAAAGATTTACTGTGACAGAGCGGCATGAAATATACTCAAGCATCAGAATAAGATCTCTTAGGAAGGAGTTTAAATGTATAGAGCCAATTATAAACTGCAATTAAGGCATTAAACGTGTGATGTGTAGTGAAAGAGTGAGGAATGACAGCCAGAAGTATAACTCACCCAGCAGGAGTGCAACTACCAGCCCAGTGTGAAGTATATCCCCTGATCTCAGCCGACCAGAGACCCTCGAACCGGTGCTGTCCACTGACGCCATGACACCACCTGTCTGTCTGTCTGTCTGTCTAAATGTGTCAATCTGTCCCTGTCTGACTGCACTGTGTCCAATCTATCCAAATGTGTTTGTGCGTGTGTTTGTCCTATGAGCAGGGTGGGACCCTGAGCTGAAGTCCTGCTCTCAGTCCCTCCCCTCTTCTCTCCTCCTCTGTCCCAGCGAGGGAGGACGCTTATGAGAAGGGAATAAATTCCTTCAGGGAGTTTTTCCCCCCTGAGCAGTTGTTTTCCTGTGCTGCACTCCAGCAGGCCAGAAATGGAAAACTGAAGAAGAATGCAGCAGTCAAGGCTCTCTTATCTCCCTCCCTCCTTCCCTTTTGCTTCCCGAGTCCTCTGTCACGGTCTCTTTCAGATTCAGTGGTGATTATCAAGCAGAGGAGAGTGTGAGGCAGATAGGAGAAGCAAGGCGGAGCGGCGTAAGCAGTGTGGTGTCAAACAGCTCCACTGCTCCAGCAGCAGCAGCAGCCAGGGAAGCAGGCTGGCTGTCAAAACCCACAGAGGGAGACATAGGCTGGAGGGGGGAGGATAGTACACGAGAGGCACGGAGGGATGCTGGAGCAGAGCCAGCAGGCGGAAAAGCAGAAAAATCAGCGTGTCTCCCCAGCCAGCTCAGGGAGGAATGAGCAGGAGAGGTACTGCAGAGGTAGTGAGTGAGTAAGGGAGAGAGAGCGGGAGAGAGGGAGGGGGATGGAGCGAAATAGCCAGGGGGAGGAAGGGGGGTGCAGCCACATGCACGTACATACACACTGCAGTAAGGCTGATTCAGCCACAGAGTCTCTGTCGGACAGGGTGCTCCCACATGCCTCCGTCTTCACTGCATCTTTTACCCCCGTCTCCACTTTCATGCGTCTCGTATTGCATGCACTGCTCTGATTTAGCTGGCTGATGCACGGGAAGATCTGATCTTGGCAACTTTGGCAACTAGCAGATAAATCACATTTGATCCCTTAGTTCTAAAGAAAGGCTATTTATAAGGGCTTGTGTATAAAAATGAGCTTTTATAAAAGTGTGTATATGCCTTTAAGTGCAGTATTTTGATATTGCACTGGGTTTATTGAATTTGAGATATGAAGTATACTGTGCTCAGATGATGTCCGTGTTTTTCAATACTTCATACAGTGCAATTGGCACGACACATGATTTTTTTTAAATGCTTTTGAAATTATTTGCATGCCAAATTCTGTGCCGATGCAAGCCAAACCAGACACCATGCCCAGACACCATCCTTTGAGGTGTGATGTCCAGAGCTTACCTATCCTTTATCGTTTGTTCAAAAAACATTGAACTTCTTCTGTGGCTGTCAGTCAGATTGTGAAAAAAACACAAGGGATTTTTAAATATCCTGAACATTGCCTTCTGTTAGAAATTGTAAAAAAAAGAATTCAAACTAAATAACTTAATGAAAGTATAAACAACAAGGTAAATGTGTAATAAACAACAATCTGGTTACATCATCTTAAATCATTTCTATATTGTACATTTAGATTTAAGAATTATAATAACATATTTTTAAAATAATAGAAAATAAAAGGAATACAAGTACCCAACAAAAAAATTAAATAAAATAATTCATAAAAAAAAACTATTACATTATAAATATACCAACCTGTGTGTATATAGACTTGTTGCACAATTTTTCAATTGTATTTTTGTATTTTATTATATATGTTGCATTGTCGGAGCTCGGGTCATGAGATTTTCATTGCCATTTCTACACTGTAGCTTATGTGCATATGACATTAAAACCTTTGAATTTAATTGAAACATAAACAACCTTCAGAAACTGGTTTTATATGTCATGCTTCACAGTTTGCCTGCAATGCATTACTGGCAGCGACATGTCACACACACCTCGTTACAAAACATGGAGTCTCATGGACACTACACAATCACAGCGTAGCTTTTCATCAATCACAGCTCAGCCTTCAACACACCACAGGGCCACAACTTTAATGTGCAGTCTGACCTTATTCACAGGATTCATGACTTCCTCACCCATCAAGCGTCACATCAGCGGAGTCATCACCAACGTCAGAGCAACCAATTGAATTTCCAAGGCCCATTTCTCTATAGCCTTCCCAATCTACCCAAAGGTGTAAATACAAGCACTGACAATCACGTCTCATGGGGTTAGAAGGCAGGACTCAAACGCAGCAGAAAATGGAGGCAGGTATGGTAAATGGACTGTATTTATAAAGCGCTTTATCCAGTCTTTACGACTCCTCAAAGTGCTTTACATATAAATATATATATATTGTTGATGAGGCCGGTAGCAGAGGGGAAGAAACTGTACAGGTAGCGAGAGGTTTTGGTCCTGATGGAGCGCAGCCTCCTGCCAGAGGGGAGGGGGGTGTGTCCAGGGTGGGAGGGGTCGGCCACTATCTTCCCTGCCTGCAAGGGTAATAAAAAACAATGGCAGCAAACACAAATGAGGAACCAACCTTGGATGGAAAAAATGGTCAGCAAATCCACAGGAAACACGAGGCTGATACATCCAGACAGGAGACATAGACGAAAACATGGACAGCAGAACCACATGGGAACGTCAAGGGGAAACATATACAAACAAACAGAGGACACGGTGTAAAACAGGCTAGTATACATGCAGAAACTAATCACATTGACAAGACACAGCTACAAGAGAGTACTGGTGGTGATCACACACAGGTGGAATAAATCAGGGCGGGGCAAATAATCACAAAAGGCGGGAAAACACATTAGCCGCTTTCACACCAAGTACTTTGCCGTACTTAGTTTCCAGTACTTAGGCGCCGTTTACACGAGGAGAAAACGGCTTGTATCTGCATAGTTTCGCGTGCGTATAGCCCTATTATTTAGACGAGGCCGATAGAAACTGACCACACAAACGATAACGGGTCCCAAGGTGGATAGATTTGCAAACGAAACGCTCTGGGGGGTCAACCGAGTCCGTTTAATCGCCTCTATACGAATATTGCCTGAAAAAATAACGACAGCCCCGCCTCTTCGCACCTCTTCCCACCTCTCCCCCGCCTCATTGCTGATTTGTTTCTACAACAACAACAACAAGAATGGCGGATCACAGGGTTGCTGTTGTGCTCCAGACGCTACTGACCATGATTAATATGTTAGTGCTACAACTACGGTGCTTCTACGACAACCACAAGCAACTAGTGGACATGAAGAACCACATACACGACATGTGGCTAAATCCACCGCGGAGAACAACCAGAAGGGCGACCAGGAGAAAGTTTTGGGTAAGACCGGGCAGAACTAGCAGTTGGTGGGACAATTTTGTCAATGGCGTTGTCGTGGACGATGAATGGAGGGAGAACTTCCGCATGTCCAAAGCCTCTGTCGTTGCCCTGACTGAAGAACTGCGCCCATATATCGAGAAGAAAACTACAAACATGAGGGCGCCAATTGATCCACTGAAAAGGGTTGCTGCGGTTCTTTATTACCTGAGCGACGAGGGAAGGCTACGGAAGACTGCTAACGCCTTCGGAGTTTCCCGCCCGTCTTTGTCCCTCATTATTAGGGAGACATGCAGAGCGATCACCATCCACCTGGGTCCAAAATACATCAAGCTGCCTTTTACTGAGCCCGAGACCGCGGATCTGGTTGAGGGGTTCCATTGTACACATGGCATGCCACAATGTTTAGGAGCAGTGGACGGAACCCACATCGAAATCAAGCAGCCATCTAACGACTCCACTAGTTGCATCAACAGGAAAGGAAAATATTCCTTTAATGTACAGGCTGTCTGTGATTACAGGTACCGATTCATGGATGTCGTGGTAAAGTGGCCTGGGAGTGTGCATGATGCACGGGTCTTTGCTAATTCCAAGCTAAACATGTACTTAAAAACTGGAAAGATCCCTGCTCTGAAAAAACAGATTGTGGACGAAGAGGAGGCCATACCATGTATGTACATAGACTGTACATTTTTTTTAAAGGTGTTTATTAAGATGTGATAAACATTCTTTGTTACATTCCCTGTCCTCACTGTGCAGCTCCTTCAGCGACAGGCTGCTGTACAATATTCATATACCTGGCTAGGTATATGTACCTGGCTGCTAAATCTGAGGACTGTTACAGGATTTTTTGTATTATATCCTAACTGTTTTTAGTACTTTTTAATGCATGTCACATGTGTGAAACTAAGCAAATAACTATGTGATTCTCCAATGTCAAAAGTGTGAAACTAAAAATAAAATTGGCTGCAACCACTTCCAGACTTTCTTTGAACTTAATGTGCAACAAATGTCATCATCCTCATGAATGAAGTTATATGGCCCATTCTACCGAGTCAGGTTGTCCATATATATTTTGTACCGTATTTATTTACACATATAGTAAAAGAACCGTACATTTTGATATGGTATTTTCAGACTGTATTGGCCACTAGCGAAACATAGTACATACACTGTAGTAAAAAACTATTATATTAACCTGTTAAGATTGTGTTACCTTCCCTTCTCTAAATAGTATTTTAACCAATATTTGAGGATTTTCAGTAAAAGTAATATAAGCAAATGTTGAATCAAAGTTGAATTTATACAATTCATAAAAATCATAATGCAAACTTTCTTTGTGAAATGCATAATACTGATCATATTGATTCCAGAGATGAAATAGAAGGGAATGAGGCTATAATGGGTAATTTTTTTGGTATTTTGAGCAAAACACTTCATAGACATGTTTTTTATATATCTGAGACTATAATATATGCCTAACAATAGTTTGGGCTTTACCATTAAGGCCCAATGTGACATATCACAGTTCAGATATTTGACACTAGGGGGGGGGTTACTTTTCATAAATGTGGTGTATTTAGTCAAAATTAGGTTTACAAGGTGAAAAGGACTTACAGCCTCCCACACACTGATATAGATATCTCACTGACTGTAATGAGGGAGAAGGAAAGAGAGTGAGGAGAGTGCTTGCGGAGTACATTGACCCTTACATGAAAGACAAGACTGTTCTTTTATTTTAATAAGGTTTTTTATTAATAACATTATTTATAAATGTGTACACAGTAAAAGGGAAAAAAATACCTTTGCTAGCTAAAAAAAAAAGGCTTAAAAAAAAGTGATTCTCCATTTGTACAAAGTCTGGTGGAGTTAAAAATAAAAATGTTTACAGACTTCCTTGACCAAAAAGTGCTGTGAAAAAAAAAGAAGCTCACTGCTTTACTGCTCCTCCTCATCCAGTGACCGCCTGAATGAATATGGAGGAGATTGTTGCTGTGGGGTGTGTGGTACAGAGGGGTTTAATCTTGGTGTGGGCCGTGTGTGGCCTTCGGGGTGGGTATGAGGGCACCTGGAAGTGTCCATATCCACTGTTGTTAGTATGAACTTGCATGAACTGGCTCATCAGGGAAAGGCCATTCTGTACAGTCACATTAATGTTGTCCATGGTGTTGTTCATACGATCCATGCTGGCTGCGCTGCGGCTGGTTGCTTCCTCCATTAAGTCCAACATCCGGCTTTTTAATCGCAGCTCTTCCTGCACCGCATGTTCAGCTGGAAGCTTCCTCTTCATGCGGTCACTTCTGTGGCCGTCCAGCCGTGCCTATAATAAACCAGAGAAAGTTTGAATTAATACACAATAGGACCATAGCCACCAGATAACAGAACACAAA